TTTTTTTTTTTTTTTTTTGCTGTACTAGTGATCAAGCAAAGGTCGGAACCTTGCACTTGCAAAGCAGGCACTTATGCCACTGAGCTGTCTCCCCGAATAGGATACTAATTTGTAACAATTAAGAGTAGCAGAAACAGTAAAGCTCTCTGGGGTTTTAACTTAATGGACTAAATTGTTTTTTCCACTGTCAAAAGCATACTGAAATTGTATTTAAGTTCTTTTACTAAGGAACTTTTTGCTAGCTCCAGAGACTTTGGCCATCTTAAAAGTAAAGCCACGGACACTGTCCACATGAAGTGTGCTCATGGGAGTGAAGAACATTAACCAGACTGAATTTCCTCATGTGCTGTGATCGCTCCAGAAACCCGTGCTTATGCTAATAACTACACTGCCTGCAAATCTTTCTCAATCTTTTCATCCCATACCTAGAATTTTGCTGTTCAGCATGTACGCAGGCATCTGCTTGATAAAAATGTAATTCACTAAATCAAATCTTTATTAGCAAAATCATTTATTAAGTTAAAAGCAAATAGTAAACAAAATGACACAATTTTGTATTGAAAGAATACGTAAACAAATACAAAAGAAAAAAAGCAACCAGTTTTGTTTCAACAATTTTAAAGACACTTCACCAGTAAGTACTTTTCTATAAACTCACTGCAAAATACTGTTTACTTTGCCATGGAGTAACTTCAGTGTCAGACTTTGAGCCAGAAAAAGGTTTATGCTGGTAAATACACCTGCAGATTCTTTCCTCACAATTTATACACTTGAAAATTATAAAAAGATTTTCCAAAAGGGGAAAGAACATACCTAGCTCCTCGGGTAAATCCTTGCCTCAAAGGACTGCCCTGCAATCTGCAAGACTATCCCAGTGAAGGTGGATTAAATCTAGGAAAGGAACTAAATTATCTTCAGTATATTTGCTAGAGTCAAGTAGTTATCAAAAGAGTTGTAGTAAAGCAAGACGACAGGGTAGGGGGAAGACTTCCCAGAAACTAAACAGTAGTAGTCGAGTGTTATCCCAAAGGAGCCAATAGCCTAAAACTACACTATCATTCCTGAAAGACAACTCTGCCATTATTACTGAAAACTTTCACAGGAAGTTTCTATTCTTAGTAGAGTGCAGCTTGAACTTTGTTTAAATTTAGTCATAAAGTTCGATAAACTCCTTTAAACAAGGGGTTACATATAATGAATATAGCTCTAAAGTAAGATGGAGTTCCAGCCCATCTAGAGTTATCTGAGGAAGTATTGCCTTTGAGGATCTTTTTCCTGAGAGTCATATTGCAAAATCACACAGCACAAATTTTCTCTAATTTTCCCTATAAATAACAAGGTGGGAAAATCAGATTACAGTAATATATTTTGAGGAAAACATGTTTCTTAAAACTTTTCAATTATATCTATGACTGATTAGAAGAACCAAATTTAAGATCTGCTCCTCATTTTTATAAGCAAAGAGAGTGTATACATAAGGTCAAAATCTGCTTAGTGTTTAAATAACTTTTATACGAAACTTTACCAGTGGAGAAACTAAGGCACAGAAACTTAACCGTGTTCAGTTTTTCTTTTTTTTTTTTCTTTTTGTATTTTAGGGGTCTACAGGGTGTTCAGGGTCTCACTACTAGATTGGACTCGTAGTGATCCACCTGTTTACAGCCACCCAAGAGCTGGGATTACAGGCGTGAGCCACCATGCCATCTCAATTGCAGTCTCAGTGGGCCCTGGGGGCCAGCACGGCAGGCCAGGGATCAAACACCCGGTCCCTGCACCTGCTTGCAGGTGCTTTGATCCGCTGAGTTATTTGGCCAGCTGTAATCGTGTTCAGTCTTAAGGGTAAATTTGGTATTCTAGGTAAAAATAGAATTTAGGGCTCTGCTGTTCAGGCAAATGGGTGATATCATTCCAAAGAGAAAAATATATTTATTTTGGTGTGTAATACGTGTTTTTGAAATATATGAATTTTCTTTAAAATCTTTGGTATTTTTAATTGTAGGGAGGCTGAGGTTTCTAGGTATTTTTCTCCCCAAAATATGAAGTGGAAGGGGAGCTATCTTTTAAATTAAAAAAGGATTAATCTTAATTTCAAAATGACCTGAGTTCATGCTGTTCCTATATAACCAACTGTACAGGGCACAGACCTGCAAAGCAGTGCGGGCCTCTGCCCTAAGCCATGCTCACACTTGGTATGCAGCTGTGAAACTGACACAAGCAAGCTTACTGCACTTCTGTAAGGTACCGACCGCAGCAAACAAGATGTCGCAGTCTAACTTTTCATAAACTCAACTATTTGAAGATGTCACGCTTATTACAGCAAGATCACGTATATTTTATGGTCTCAAGTAGCCCATTATGTTCATCCAACCTGAAAGCCTTTTCACACTGAGATGTGGACTGTGAAGTTTATGTAGGTCATGTGAACGTCTTACTATGTGTGAATGCTTTTGATTACAAAACTTTTCATCTCTTCAGTTTGCATTTGTGAGAGATCAGATAAGTTTCCGTAGACATAATGTAATACAGTACATTCCATGTAAAAAATAATTTTCAAGTTTGTTTCTAAAGTGCTCCATGTGCTGTATTGTCAACTTTTACATTATAGAAAGCCAGTATGACTCAGTAACCTTAAAGAAAAATGACTTGTTCAAGTATGGATCTATAGACTAAGAGGCACATTCAAATTTTCAAGCTCCACTAGCAGACATAAGAGGGATGGCAGAGGTATTTAGGAATGTCAGGACAGGGACTGCTTTATAAGGTAACCAGTGTACAACCTCAAAGTACTTTTACAATTATGGTAAGAAGTATTTGTCCAGTGAAACAGGGATCAAAAATAAAACTCATTTCTTATTGGAAACAAATCAAGTTTGTCCAAATACTAAGAAGCTGAATTATAAAAACTGCTCTGAGAAATTTCATGGCTAATAGGTTGCTTCATCCATGTTGTCATCGCTGTCAGCTCCAAAATCATCTCCGTCTTCGAAGTACGAATTGATGTAGTCGTTTTCCTAAATGAAAGGGTACATTCCTTAGTAAACTTAAAATGAATTAGCTGCATTAAATAATACAGTGTAACCTATCCCTTTAAGTTTATAAATACAAAATTTAATAAAATCCAGCAGCTTAGAAGTTTTAATCTATTTAAGATAAGTATGAATGTTTGCCCATGTCCGCCCGTCTGCTTTCCTCAAGGCAGCATGTCCCACCTGCCATTCTGAGGTAGCAACCAGCTGTGAGGGGCTGCTCCTTTGCCTTGGCAGGACGCTGAACACCGCAGCACCCCTCAGTGGGGTGACAGGCAGGCTAGTTCACTAAGCTGGGGAACAAGCACTCCTCCAAGCGCACAGCCACGCAAGCAACAGTCAGTCTGCCCTAATGGTCACTACCGCACCAGAGCCGAGGCTGCAGGTCCTGATGCTTAGCCGTGAGCACGGGACTTTTATTTCCCATCAACCAAAGGCCTCCGAGGAGAACAAGTGGAGAGAAAGCCATATCTCATCTATCCGGGGCCTTTGGCTTCCTTGGTTAAGATGAGCCCAGTTTCAGGACTGTTAGCCATGCAAATGGTTCAGAAGATACCTGCTGTCTTAAATGAAAAATCCAAAAATCCATCTTGGACCCGGACAAAGAGTTACTAAGTTTATGACTGCAGTATGCATTGTGTTTGGATTTTGATTGAAAAATTTTTTTGAAGTGATTAAAAAAGTTTAACACTGATGTGATATGACCATACTAAGTATTATGTCGTGAGGGAGTCTTCACTTTTCAGTCCACACTGAAGTGTCTGTGGATGAAACGATACAATGCCTATTATCTTACAATAATATAGGATAGATGGTAAGTAGGGATGGGGGCCAGGCAGGGAATGGGGAGCTGGGTGAATGGCTGCTTAATGAGCTGTGAAGTGAGCTCTCATAAAACTGGGTAATAAAGCCAGGATCAAAATCTACCACACTAAATACAAATTTCCATCAGAGACCATTCTCAAGAGGTATCTCGATGGATGTCAGCCTCATTGTTCTTCTGAGTATTTTCTTTTTTAGTATCTAGATAGTAGACCATATATATATATATATATATATAATGAAAGGTAACATATCCTTGAGATACTCATTACTTTGCCTTTTCTAAATACTACGATTTACATAGGGGTTGGAGGTTCGATCCTCTGGCCTGTGCCAGCCCTGCCACTGGGGCGCACTGAAACTGCAACTGAGAACGGGTGTGGTGGTGCATGCCTGTAATCCCAGCGCTTGGGAAGCTGAAAACAGGAGGGTCACTACGAGTCTGATCTGTGTAGTGAGACCCTGTAGAGCCGGCAGACTCTGCACTAAATACAATAAATAAATAAATAAGTACTATGATTTTCTGCAAATCTCCTGGACCCTTCCCAGCTCCAGAAAGTTGCCCTAGCTTCCCTGATGTTAAGAAATGCAGAAATGTCTAAGTAGCGAAGTGTAGGGCCTTTGTGCTGGGAGGGATGTCACAGTTCAAAGTTCAAGGCCTTGCAAGGCTGGTGAGCACATGTGGAAACACGAGAAGGCCAATGTGTACATAACTGTAAAAGTGGTAAGGAAAGTCCTCCAGACCAAACCTTTAGTGCATGTGTTTGAAACACAAGTATCTCCTCCAAATACGCTCCCTGCTCCAATAAGGCAATTTTACATAATCTGAATACAGATATAAACTAGCAGACTCTGTTGAAGCTAACAGCTTAAATGGTCTTGGCTCTCATATGAGCTCTTGCTTTTTCTTGAATTATAATATTCAAAATACTGAAGGAAAAATATTTTCTTGATTTAATATGTAAGTATTACATAGACAATTTGCTCCATTTTATGGTTCAAAATGCTTATCAAATCCTCAATTCATTGGGTAGATTAATTACCAAAATTTTTAATTAATTAATAATTGCTATGAGGAACAGAGTAAATCTGTAAGCGCTTCCTTTCGCATCCCTCACTTGGTCTCACGTTCAAAACATGCCCCATTTGTTACAATGGAGGAATTTGTAAAATGAAACGTGCTTACACAAACCTACTTGTCTAAAGCCACTGTGTTGTATGGTACTTTCTGAGGTCTAACGCAGAGTGCTAAGCATTAGAATGCCAGTGTTTGCTGAGTATTTGAGAAGAGGTCTTTATTCCAACCTACTGAGTATATCCAGGCTCAGCCCCTGTGGACTTTGTTAACACAGCTGTCAACCCTGGCCACTACCCACTAGAACCTGGTGGCACCACCACTCACACGGCAGTGTGACAACCAAAAGTGTCTCCAGACACTGTTAAATACCTTTTGAAAGTTAAAGCCACCACTGGCTGAGCAGCTCTGGCAGGTGACAAGTTTGCAGATGCGATCCACCCTGTGCCGCCTCTCAGTCTGAACTAACGCCTACCAATCACAGATGTGACCACGCTCCTCCAGCGTTCACAGCTCTTCTGATTATGTGACACAGAGATACGATATAGTCTCAGCCTGGCATGCAAGGCCGCACAGCCCCAAGTGCTGCTCTCTCCAGGCTCTCGCTTCTACATCAACCCACGCACAGTCCAGAGTCCGGTCATACTGACCTACCGGTCAGTTACGCTACGATGGCACGCTCTCGGCACCTGCAGGCCGGCCTTTCCTTTTGCACTCTCCTCTACCTGCATTTCCTCCAGTCTATTTTCTCATCTTAATCTCATTAACTCTTAAATAAAACCTTACAAATTGTCCGCTTTGAGGTATTCACGTCCACATCCCTACAGCAGTGTGGTATCTTCTATGTGCGCCTTTGTTGCCCAGGACTACAACATCATGGTTTTACTCACTTACTGATCATATCTGTTTCCTTTCCGGTTTGTCCCCCAGTAGAATGATTTCCTTGAGGGGACAAGCAATCTCATCCTCATACTTCCACTGCCTAGCACAATTCCAAGCACATAATAAGTGTACAACTACTACAGGCTGAATGACAACGGAATAAGGAGTCGGAAGGTGATTAGGGCGGTTGTAGGTAAGGACGCAGCAGTCAGAGAAATTAAGGCCCAGGGCTAGAACCCTGAGCCCCGACATTTACGAAGGAGAATAAAGGGAAGTCAGGATAGTAGAAAAGGAGAAACAAGGAAAGAGGAGAAAAATGAGAAGCACTATCTCGGAAAAACAAAGGGACACAACCACCTCTCTGTATTTTTTGGCACGTAGAACAATACCTGGCAGAGCAGGTGCCTACAACTGCCTTAAAATGGTTGATTTAAATAAAGGAAATATTTTAATTATAGAATAGTTGGAAGTTGTTCAAAAGTGTTGAATGCTATAGAAAGGGCAAGTGGAGTAAGGGCTGCAGTTCATCTACGGTGAACTTGGTAGCAATAATCTGAGTAGCGTGCAGTAGAACTCGGACTAAAAAGAGCTACATGGGGAAGGGGGGACCAAGAATGAGAGCTAAAGCAGCTTTCAAGAGATGGCAGGAGGGCTGATCAGATAATCTGGGAAAATACTTCACGTAGGAAATGAACATGTTTTAATTTATAAACAGAAGAAAAATTTTAATTTATAAACAAATAAGAAAAGATACTAAAAAGTATAGAAAGGAAAATGACCTGAGGATTACAGTCCCAAAATAGGGCAGGATTATTAGCTCCAAGTAGGTTAGCGATTTCTTCCATTGATAAAAAAAGAGGAAGAGAGATGACAGTGAAGACAGAGACCTGGAAATTTAGGAAGTTGGCTGTCAACAGCTTCATTTTCTGAATGAAGGAGCCTTTACCTGCTAAGAGTGAAAGAAAAAGTATAGTGAAGAGAGGGATTATGAAGAAAAAGCATGATCGGAAGTAAACCATGAGAGCTGACTTGGCAAGAGAAAGAATACATGTTATTGTGCAAAATGGGGCTGGGCCTGTTCTAGCAGCACCAGCATCTGTGGTTCTTCAGAAACAGGATTTCTGAACCAACCTCCAGACTCTGAGGCCGAGTCACGACAGGGAAGAGGATGAAAGGTGAGTGAAGACCTCAGCTCCTTAGAGAAGGAAAGGAACAGGAACCAGTAAAGTGGAACCAAGGTCCAAAAGCCCTGCCCACCCAACCTGACAGAACCAAGCAAGAAGGAAACAGCGACCTGGAGAAAAGACAAAGACCAACAAGAGATGCTCAATTTGTGACTTAAAATTCATCGGGATGAATAAACAAAATGCTCAGAAAATTCTCAAGGGCAGCAGGAAGCCATGCGCTGTATTAAACCATCAGGAGCTTCTATTCCTAACTGGAACAGCTTAGTGCTGCTCCCTAACGGGTCAATGGAAACAGAGTACAGCAACACATCCAAGCAGATATGGGAACTGCAGAGCTAACAAGAGTTCCAATCAATGAAGAAAGCAAACTGATTAACAAACGAGGTTGGCAAGGGCTGGCCAAATAGCTCAGGGGATTAAAGCATCTGCTTAGGCAGAGCGCAGAGGCTGGGATTTGATCCTCCATCCTCGGCCTGCTGCGCTGGCCCCGCCCCTGGGGCACCTTGAGACTGAGGCGATTGAGACGGTGGCGTGGTGGTGCACACCTGTAATCCCAGCTCTTGGGAGGCTGAACACACGTGGATCACTATGAGTCTGACCTACGTAGTGAGACCCTACAGACCCTGTACTAAAATACAAAAAACAAAACAAACAAATGAGGTAAGAAACAAATATATCCACACTTTCCTTTATATCAATATAAATTTCAAAAGAACACAAAGTCCAATGCAAAACTGTACTCATTATATGTAATTAAAGCATGTAATGAGGATTTCGTGGTTGGAGCAGTTTCAGATGAAGAACGACTAGAGCATGGTGTAAGCAGCAGAAAGGTCACCAGGAGTGGGGTGCACATCAAGGTCACCAGGAGTGGGGAGAAACAGCCTAGTCTCACAGTGTGTAGTGGCCACAAACCCCCTAGGGGCTGTGACCACAGTTAACCCTAGCCAAGGGTCCTGACTGATTCCAGCTTCGAATGCACACGTTTCTGAAACATGGAGTCTTAGGCCCAGCCAAGGGGATCATTAGTGCTCACAGTCCCACACGTACTCCAGAATTTGAAACACAGTGGCGTTACAGACCTCCCTCTAGACCTACACAGGGAAGCCCTCCAACTCCATTGCCGGCTTAAAATTTGATGTTAATTTTTTTTTTTTTTCCTTATACTGGGGATCAAACTCAGGACCTTTTGCTTGGTAGGCAGGTGCTGATGCAGCTGAGCTATCTCCCCAGCCCTTTCTGTTAAATCTTAACTGCACTAATCTGATCACTGTTCTCAGTTTGTGGACTGCTTTCCACCTACACAGCTGCCTCCAAGTCACCGTTTCCTCCTCTGTTCAGTTGGGCACCCTTAGCATCCCAGTGCTGTCTTTCTTTTGACACCAAGGACCTGCTATGAGTAAGAAGCATTTACTTCAGGAACTTGGCTTCCAGGGGCTGATTCTGCTCAGCCACCACCCGCCTGACTCCTTCTTAGATCGCCCTTAAGCTGAGGTGCTCAGCCTGGCCCCAGATGGCCCTTACCTCTTCCTGCTCCTCCTCCTCATCGTAGTCTTCCTGCTCGGCATTGGCATCATCACTGTCATTATCACCTTCTTTATTTTCTTTGCTTCCTTCTTTCTCTTCGTTTTCCTCATCGGATTTTTCACCATCGCCCCTCTTTTCCAATTCCTGGTGGAAGAGAGTTTCATTATTTTATGGGGAAAGGGCTGGGCTCTGGCACCCGGTCTAGCGGCAGGGGACCCAGGGAGAGTGCCGCAGCTGAACCACCTCGGGCTCCAGAGGAAGCGGTCCCGTAGCGCCAGCCTTTGCTCTGCCCGTTACTTCCCTGCTGGGGCTCAGCTCAGGCTGGGCGGGCCCCTCCAGTGCCCAGCACTGCGCTTTACGATACCCGTCCTGCCTCCTCCTAAAGTATGGGACGTATCATTTACAGCGCAGAACTTTCCGAATATTGTTTTGTTTTCCTTCTAACACGTAACGGTAATGTTTCAAAATGTCTATGTTCTGGTTTTACAGATAAATTGCTTTCGGAAACTATCACTATCAAGCCATCTTAGCCGCATGCTGTCTGCAGGGCTAAGTTGCCCCAGCTGCAGATTACCCTGTATTTCCTTTGTTCTCATTCCGTCCTTAGGAACCTTTGCTTCCTAATACATCAAGAAGGTTGGGAAGAGATCAAGGCCAACTCTAGGGAGTATCAGCAACTTTCAGACAGGAGGCAAGGGGGAGAAACGGTGAGGAGAGCGTTCAGGACCTCCTGGTCCTACTTAGCCTCTCCCTGACATCATTACTAGCACACAAGTTTACCTTTAAAACTACATCTTTGTATTTCTATAAGAAACATCAATCGCTTTTTTTTGGCCCGCTCAGCCCACCCTAGGGGGCAGGGCTGGCAAGGCATGTGGTGTGGGGGCGCAAACTGTGGTCCCTGCACGCTTGCCTAAGCAGGTGCTTTAGACCGCTGAGCTATCTCGCCAGCTACAATGACTTTATTTGATAAAAAGTGACCTGTTTTCATTATATCACTATCTGTTCACCAACTTGTACACTACTAACCTTGCACAAATTATAGTTACTCAAATTTTATACAAGGCGGACATAATAATGTCACATGTCAATATTCATACTAAGGCTTTAGCTATTTTCTGATTATTCTTAAACAATAGTTAGAATACTAGCTTATGAATCTACAAGTGCTTCATCTCTACTATAAAATATGTGCTTTATAGATTATATAGCATGGGAAATATATTTTATATCTGGAGTGACTATAACTTAGCTACTCATTTACTGGTCCTTATTTATTTTTTAAAAATTCTTATAATTATATCCAAATCTGAATTTAAGCTAAATCAAAGGTAAACAAAAGACGTATCATCCAGCCATGGTGGGATATGCCTGTAATCCCAGTACTTGGGAAGCTGATGCAGGAAGATCACTGTGAGTTCAAGGCCAGCCTGGGCTACGTAGTGAAATTTGTCCCAAAAAAAAAAAAAAAAAAAAAAAAAAGCAACAACTCAATTTCTTTTCCAAGTCCTCTTTTCTTGTCTGATCATCCTCTTCAGGCAGAACAAAGATCAAAGAAATAGGCACAAAGTGATTCACCTCAATCTGACCTGATGTTGCCATGAGTTATTACAATTATGAGTGTAATTGTGTTTTCCATTTGAATCAGAACATAAGTAAAAAGTTTACATAGTTCAGATGGAATGATAGTGCTATATTTAACTTTGTGCAAGGTCTACATTATACCTGAAAAAGTGCTATTATTGCATAATTAGCATATTCTATCATATTTAAACGTTATATAAAAATTTAAAACATAAAATTCAGTGTGAATAGGGACTATGATGCCCATATTTCTGCTGCCAGTTCAAACATATTTAAATTAATAACCTCATCTTTATTTCTATAACAAAGACTCCAAACCACAAAACAGTTAAATAAACAAATAGATCTATGGAATTTTCTTAAAAGAACTGATCTTTGACACAAACTTGACCTCACTGCTTTTTTTTCCTTTGGCACTGAGTGAGGCGAGGCTCTTCCACTTAGTGGTCCCCACTTTCTCGCCCATGAAATGTAACTGTCTAAGCTTAGTACAGACTATACGCTGTGCAGAATAAGCAGCCCATGTGTTCGTTTCCTGCTGTCTGGTTACCCATGTGCTTGGAGGTGTGTTGCTATTTTCCCATCCAGATATACTGCAGTAATACTTTAATAAACTTCTCCTGCTGTAGAAATGAACTTCAATAAGCTTCTTTTGCTTTGGATATGAACAATTATGCAGCCATTTACAAACAACTTTTACTCTCCTAAAATTGCTGACATGCCCAGATATTAAAATTCACTTTTAACTGTCCTAGAAGAGTGTTAAGTGCAAGGAGTAAAGAAATAAAATTTGTTGAGGAGAAGCCACTCCCAAAGATGCAGATTTATCTTTCTCACAGCACCCGACAGCCATCTTATCAACCTTCCTCAGGAGGCTTTCAGAGCGGTGGAGCACGGGCGCGATGAACAGAATCTGGCTCGCCCTGCAAGCGCATGTATCACTCCACCACCATCAGAAGTGCCAGTTACTGCTATTCATTCATCCATCAGTCCTTGGGCTTTATTTTTCAGACACGCTCTCTCCAGCCCAAGTACTGGTCAAAAAATAAAAGAGCAAAAATTAAAGAGTTCCTGCCACCAGGCAGCTGTGCCATGCTGGCCAAGCAAGTAAATGTTTTAAACTTGTGACTTCATCTTCCGTATGCAGGGAATAAAAGAACCCATCTCTCTGTCGCTACCAGCTCCTAAGGACCTGGTGCACATGAAGCGCTCGGCGAAGAGCCTGGCCCAGAGTCCAGTCAGCCTTCCCTGCTGCAGTCATCGCCAGCAGCACAAGGTTAGCGCATGCGCCAAAACCCAGAGCAAGCGGCTATCACCTCCATGGGAAGTCATGTGATGACACTGATTCCAGGCACAAAACCGACCCAACACTTCTAGACATTTACTCTCCTTGGGAAAGTGACATTTACTATGAATTCATCACAGCATTATGTACAAGAGCAAAACACTAGAAGAAACAATGCCCACTAGTGGCACATTCATTAAATAAATCATGGTTCATTCTTATAATGTGGCCAAAATAAGAACGAGGCAATTCAAGTAGCCTGATATAAACCATCTCCAAGATACTTTATTAAGTGACAGAGTGAAAATGAAGAGTATGATCTGCTGCCTTTTATCATCAAAAAGGAAAAATTCTGTTTCTTATTCATAAAATATTTCTGAAAGTGATATAAGAAGTTGTAATGACGGGACCGATGAAGGGAATAAACAGCTGGGTTAGGGATAGGATGGGGGGCCAGTGTATTAACCATTTGAATTTTATGACTCTTTTAAAAAATATTTAGATAAAGATAAAAATAGTTTCATAAGACAATATTTTTCCCTCAATAGTCTGTCACACATACCATAAGACTCAAAACCCAATTTTTTTTTTTTTAATAATATGTATATACCAGTGGGGAAAAGGAGATTTTTGGGAACTCTGCATTTTCAGTAGAAAGACTGAAGTAAGAAGGCAAAAGAAATAATGAGGTTTTATACTTTTCCAGTTCACTTTTACACTAAGAGAAAAATCTTACCTCAATTTTTTTCAACACATCTGCAGCATTAAGGAGTGAAGACACTCTGTCTGTACCTTTTGTGCTTTTGGATTTTGGGTCTGCTGAAATAAAACCACCAGTTAATATGCTTCTGTAACGGCAACAGTGATGACCTTTTTATGCCTTTTCGTATGCTGCTTAGCACAATGGCATGCCCTGCCACGTAGTCAAACAATTTTCGGAATGAATTCGTTTTCTTAAGTAACAAACAAAAGAAATAAAACGAAACATCTCGCTGGCTTCCCAAGAGTGAATAACTACTACTAAAGGTATTTTTGTGACTAGAGGCAGATATATTTTCAGTAGGCACTGCAAGCTGTGCTGGCAACTGCTATCACTAGAGACGAAGCTGCTAATGTGGGAACACACGCAGAGCTGCGGAGGACTGCAGCAGGCGGGGCTCCCGCAGAGCCACGCGCTGGCCGCCGCTCACTCGCTGTCAGGAATCAGTGTCTGTGAGATGTGGAAAATGAAGAAGTTCAGGAAAACCAGGAGCTTGGTAATAGTGAGAGAGATGACAAAGGAGGAACATTCACTGCACAAACAACTGTCTTTGGAGTGAAGATGAAAAGAGTTAAACTAAGCACATCCAGCATATGAATCTCCAAACTCAAGGCAGCACAAATAAAATGTTTTAATGCCTCTGCGATATGGAATGTTTTACCCATCTCAAAAATATTACTTTTTAAGGCTACTCTGAAACTGAGGGAATATTTCACATATGGATTCCGCCACTCAGTTACCAAAGCATTATGATATACTACAAAGTTGTCCCATTATAGTCAGGAAATATTATAGTTCTTTTCCAAAATCAAATTAAATACCCAGAAATTACTAACCAAGGAAAATATGGTGCACAAAGATGTAATTTTGTAAAGATTAACATTTAACCTACAGAAGAAGAAATGTCTGGGTTGTGCAGGACGACCCCGCGCTGATGGAGTCACTTCTACTGCGCCACACCAACTGCCCCAGGAGCCCTCCTCCGCAGCTCCGTGACCTGCGTCAGGGAGGTCTGCTCATGCGAAGGAAGACAGGGCGCGATGGGTAACTTCCTCTGCCTGGCAGGAGGGCAAAGACTGCTTCTATGAGCACAGAAAGTGCAGCAGCACGCCGAGGAAGATCACAATAATCTTGGAATACTGTGCCTCAAACTAGCAGCTAAGAATGTAACTTCTTCACAAGAGTAAATCTTGTTCTCGAAGAACTTTTATCAAATTTCATGTCATAAAAATATGTAAGCATGTTAAGCAGATACTATCCACAGTAGTTTATAGTTAGAAAAATTACTAATTTTTTAACAAGAGGCCAGATGAAGATACAAGTCCACTCAACATTCCCTGCTTACTTAGAATGGGGGGCAAGTACCAAAACTACCAAAACTGCTAAAAGACTATCTGAACCCCAAAATATTAAAATGATTTTTTCTATCTTTAGCCCAAATATACACATATACTTCACTTTTTCAGTTGCTTTCAACGCCTGTCAGTAGCTAGATTTGAAGAATCAACAATTTTCTGGTTTTTATACAAGAAAAACATTAGAACAGGATAAGGAAAAGTTTGTGGCTGTTGCTTTTTAAAATTTTTATTCTAAAATAGTCACTATGCACCTGCCTAGGTGAGCTCAGGGACCAGGGTTCAATCCCTGGCACCATCAGCCACGCTGCCCCCCCCCGGGGGGGGGTGCACTGAGCTGGCTACCGAGTCTGGGTGTGGTCTGGGTGTGGTGGTGCATGCCTGTAATCCCAGCTCTGGAGAGGCTAAAAACAGGAGGATCACAAGTCCGAGCTGCGGAGTGAGACCCTGTATCAAATACATGTAAAAAAAAAAGTGTTAAAATAGTGACTATGCTCATCGTGGGGAGTTGGTACAACACATCTTGATTCTTTTTAAGTCCTTCTGCCCTGTGTCCACCTCTAGGGTTGCTTAGTTTCTTAACAAGTGTTGGGTGCCATGGAAGCTAGAAAATGGGCCGAATGTGTGTAAGCGGGACTAGGCCTCAGTGCCTAAAGCAGACAAGCTACCTCAGGCCTGAGTAAATATCCTGACTAGTTAATGTTGGCTATTAGTCACTAGGCAACCTTGTGTCACGTGTTACTAACTGTTGCTGGGGGGGGGGGTCATCTTGCCAACCAAGCAGATGAGTCACTACCTAACCCAGCTTTTGTCTTCCTACCTTTTCCTCTTTCCTGCAGTCTTTCTCCTCTGGTAGAACGGAGCACGCTGAGCCCCACATTTGGCACCTGATCAGGATACCCCGTGTGAGATAAGCGGGGGTGGCAGGAACACTTCCAAAGAGCGCACATAAGGGAGGGAAGTGGACTGGTTACAGCCAGCAGTACCCAGCACAGGCATGCACTGGTACTGGCACGTTAGGTGCAAAACTTGGGGATGGAGGCTCATTAGGGCCGGAAATGAACTGTTCACTAGGGCCAGAGAGATAAAGGAGTAAGAAAGAAACAGGTTTGAGAGAAGCCAAAAAGGAAAGTTATATTGAGTTAAAAATGGGGAAAAAAAGAGTTTCAAGAACTGTAGATGTTTATCCACGTATATAGAAACATCTGTTTTTTTGGTTTCTGTATTTGTGTTACTTTCTAAGACCATCATAGAGGACTTTGCATGCAGTACTGTTTTAAAATTAAGTCCCAAACAGGACAAGGAGGGTAGAGCAAAGGTATAGCAGATAGAGTTTAAACCCTGCATCTTTTCGTCTTCCTCTATCTTTGCTCAATTAGATAAAAAAGGAAAAAGTTATTTTAAATTGGGAGCAGTTGGTTCCAAGCAGCAAGGTGCCACCACAGGAAGAAGCATAAACTGGACCCTGGGCGGCCCCTGCACCCCAGTGTTAGGCAGGCCCAGCCGGGACTCCCCAGCCTCCCGTGCATCTGCTTGCCCAGTCCAGCCAGAGGTCGGTGCATGCCAACTACAGTCCTGCGCTGGTGCCAAGCAGGAGGGTCCTGACCATGGTACGCCGTGGCCTTGGCACTGGCTACGTGCGCTGCTGGCATCACAAATTTGTAGGGTCAAGATAAGTGTCTATGTTTAAAATCTGGGCAAAAAGGAAACATCCAATGGACTGAGCCAGAGCAACAGCAGGCACACACAGTGGCTGGCAGAGGCCATGGCAGCCCAGAGAAATTCTGCTGAGTCACAGATTGGCATTCCTGCCTCAAGGGAAGCGGGGCCACTTTCCTTATCTCCCTTGCAGTTGGCATTAAAGAAGCCAGATGGGCAAGTGAGTACCAGGAGGGTTTTCAATACATCTTCCCTGTTTCTAAAGTACAAGTCCCTAACAATCTGGGACAAGTTGTACGTCTTCATGAATCTACCCTTTAAAACCTGGAAAGAATGAACACAAGCTGTTGCTACTTACGGCCCCACTGCTTTCTTTACCTTGAGTTTAGTAGAAATGCTACAGCCCCAAGTGATTGGAAAGGAGTAGCCAAAGCATACTTGAACCCAGATTATTGTGGAAAGGGAATTTCCTTGAATACTGCATGGAACAGGCAGCTCAGAATGCAATTCACAACTTAGCCATAACAAGGGATATGCTAGCTGGGGAGGGTGCCTTTGCCAACACAAGCTACCGACTGACTTCTGCGCTGCAAATGTACGAGCAAACTAAGATAGGTGCCATTAGGGCCTGCAGGGAGCTTCCTTCTAGAACGGTGAGGCATCCCTCGATTCGGCTTTCGTCAGGCAAGGCCCTGATGAACCAACCTTTTCAAGATTTTGCTACATGTTTATTGCAAGCTAGTGAGAGGATTATAGGAGACAAAGAAGCTGGCAAATCAGTAGTTCAACAACTGGCCTTCAAAAATGCAAATAAATATAAAAAGGCTTTAAGACCCCACAAAAAGTGGGTTACTCTGCCTGAGATGATTGGGGGTTGTGCAGATACTGCCCTGCACTTGTACAGGGAGCTTCCTGGGCAGCAGCTGTTACTCGGGTTATTCATCCACAGTCTAGAAAAAAGGAAAAAATGTCCTTTGTTTTTGTGGTGGGGATATGGAACATTTAGCCTGAAATCCTTCTGTTGCACCAAAGGTGACACAGCCTTTATCTGTCTCTTCAATAAAACCTTGCAGTCCATGTACTAGATGCAGATGAGGGAACCACTGGACAAGTGAAAGCAGATCCCAGACTGATGTGGAACGCAGACCCCTCCAGGGAAACTCCCAATGTTTTCCTCTCCCCTGCACCACAAGCGTCCCTGACCTTTGGCAAGCCGACCCACAGCGGAGGCCTGGACCTCAGCTCCTCCTCCAGATTCCTGCTCACTCCTGACATGGGGCTCCAAGTTATTCCTTCTGCAGTCCATGGATCTGTGCCTCAGGGGACACTGGGAGTCTTGCTAGGCCGCAACAGTCTCATTTTAAAAGGCCTTCAGATTTTTGCCTTGTGTCATGGATGCTGATTATGCAGGGAAATCAGAGATAATTTACTCCATCCACACCATCATTTGAGCCACACCAGACTCCTATTTCTCAATTGGTCATTCTTTTATCTTCTTCTTTTTTTTGGTGAAACCGGGGATTGCGCTTGCCAGGGAAGCGCTTATTCCACTGAACCATCTCCACAGCCCCATTCTTTTATCTTTGATAAAAATTTTAAAATTATTAAAAAGAAATAATGGATTAAAAAATAAAAATTAATTAAAGGGAAAACATTGTAAAGTGCCTTTTCAAAAGTTAAGTGTGAAGGAAAAAAAAAATAGGGGCCAGAGAGAATAAGTGCTTGCCTGGCAAGTGCAAGGGCCTGAGTTCAATCCCCGGTTTCACCAAAAAAAAAAAAAAAAAGTAAGTGTGGCTGGCGTCCAAGTGAGGCAGCTGGGTGCCCAGCTGGTGAGATCCAAAGGGCCGTTCCTCTAGGACCTGAGCTTAGCAGAAAAGCAGGAACTAGAATGGCTGTCTCTCTCCATTACAACTGACACTAAAAGAGAAGTTTTTCCATTTTCTCCTTCAAGTGATTAGATTAAAAGGCTATTTCCATCCCTAAAGATAAAAACAATTTGCTTAAAAAAAAATTCAGAAGATTTACAATAATGGGGATATTTTAAA